CCAGCCCCACCCTCACCTTCTGGTGCTCCCGATAGTGGCGGGTGACTGTCCCATGAGCAGCCTCAGCCTCGATGGTCTTCCCGTCTGGGCAGACCAGCACAGACGTCATCAGGCCCAGGGAGCCAAATCCTGGAGGGTGCAAAGACCCCTCTCAGCACAGGTGCTCTTCTCAGACCACCCTAAGTTGGGCCTACCTGCCCTCACCTGTTGTAGCTGCCTCTTAGCCCATGTCTCCTCCCCAAGTGCATCTGAGAGGACAGGGGCTACTGGGGCTTGTCCACTCTTGTCGAAGGTCTCCAGGGCCTGGCACCAGGCACGGGACGGGGGGCACTGGAGGGTGGCTACCATCAGCACATTAACACACATCTGTTTCCCCACCTCCTGGGCTCAGAGCCTTGAACCCCAGGCCCAAGACATTCCCTCCCCTAGTCCTGCATCTCCCAGGGTCTGTCCACCCAGCCTAGCTTGTGCCCAGAAGGCTCACCAGGGCAGAAAAATTAAGGCTGCTGCGATCATTTTGTCTGCTGCCCCTTGAGGTCATTTTCAAGCTTTGTGATTTATTTCCAAATTTTCCCAAAGCCAGATGTCAACTCAGGTGACCTTGTACTGCTATCAGGTATTCCAGGGCTTCAAAAGCACCCCCATGGCACCCAAATTGTGAAAACCCAAGAAGGAAAAGTTGGCGACTTCCATCAGAAATGATTAGTCTGGGAACCAGCAGTTAGCGTAATGGCTATGTCGCTGGACTCCCACATAGTCGACCGCGGTTTGCGTCCCGGACCCGGTGGCTTAAAACTCACGCCGGGCGCGTGTGCGTGCGTGCCCAAGATCCTGAGAGGAGAATGGAGGAGAAGGGATTGCGGCGTGACCATCCCCCTGGGGGGTGATTTCTCGCTTTCTGTCTCTATGTCTCTCTCTGTCTGCCTGGCAAGCGCACACGCCCTATAGTGAAAACCTCTCAAAAAAAAAAAAAAAAGAAATGATTAGTCTAAGAATTGTTGCTATTCTCCACCTTTTCCTGACTTTATAATGTTCGTGCCCTTCTCTTATCAGCTATGGTTTTTCCTCTTCCATCCTAGGTGGGCATTGTTCTGGTGAGAACACCACTAAGCTTTTCAAAGTAAAGCCAGAGGGTTCCCTCCCTATCCTCAGTCTAAATTAGCTCTGTATTTTTTTAATTTTATTCTTTCTTATTTACACTTAATTGCTGTACATCTTTGTGGGGAACAATGTGGTTTTTCAAAGTGTGCATGCAGTGTATGATAATCAAATCAAGGATATTGCCATATTCGTCATCTTCAACAAATTATGTTGTGATCGTTTGATTTTCATTCTAGTTTTTGTTTTTTGATGTATATTTTGTCTTCTGGATACACATACACACATATTTATGATTGGCAATGCTTTTTTAAAAAATTTAACTGTGAGGGACCAGCAGTTGGCGTAATGAATGGCCATGTCGCTGGACACCCGTGTAGTCAATTGTGGTTCGAGTCCCGGACCTGGTGGCTTAAACTCACGCTGGGCATGCGTGTGTGCGTGCACAAGATCCCGAGAGGAGAATGGAGGAGAAGGGATTGCGGCGTGGCCATCCCACTAGGGGGTGATTTCATACTCTCTGTCTGTCTCTGGTGAGCGCACACGCCCTATAGCAAAAACCTCTCCAAAAAAAAAAATTTAACTGTTGTGGTATACCTTTCCATACCATTTCCCTCATTCGCATGCATTCTTGTATCTGTTAAACATTTCTTCCCAAGCCTGACCCCCCCTTCCTAAGTCAGAGCGTTATATAAAGCCCTGAGACCCTCTGCCTTTTTCATGGCACATTGCCAGGGCTTCGCTTTCCTCCTAATCAGGAGTGGACTTCATCAAACCTTGTGCAACCTGCGGCTTCTCTTTCAGTCCCCGGGCCTGGCATACTGTCTGCTCTCACCACCTCGCTGCTCATTCTCAGCACAACTGGGCTCTTTCTCACTGTTCTCGAATGGCCTCACCAGTGCTTTCTGCAGCAACCCAGTTTTAATTTTGCCAGAGGGTGCATGTAAAGGGTATGAGAAGAGTCAGCCGAAGGAGAAAAGCATCCCCAGTGGTGTGTAGTCATGCCACAATCCGTTGTCCATTTATCTATCTTGTCAGAATTTGGGATGCACATGCACATCCACCCAGTATGTTCTTCAAGCCACCATGCATGGGACTGGAACCACACAGTTGGCCATGTGGGATTCGGCTTTCTTAATCACCAAACCACAGGGCCAGCCCAACCCAATTTGTCTATGAGGATACTCCAGGGCTTGGAAGTTTTCCATCTTCCCTAGTACTCTCCTATATTCACTAGCTTCACTGTGCTAAAAGCATTCCCTGTCATTAAAAAGCTTCCAGTCCTGCTTGATCTCATTTTCCTACTGAAGCCAGACATAGTCCCTGCTCTGTCAGGCACAGGAGCAGTCCTGGGCTGACAACCTAGCCTAGCTTCAGGACTTGAATGCCTGTGCCCTCCCTTCTCTGTAAGGGCAGCCTGAGTGATATACTGGTCCACACCTAGCTATGGCCCTCTCTCCATCAGCTTCTGAGACCTCCTGCCCTCTGCTGTCCACAGGAGACCCTCTAGTGGGTCCTGCTGGTACACTAGGCAAGTAATTTACCAAAAGGGTCCGAAATCCCCCAGCTAGAGACCAACAGGCCAGCCCCCAGGAGCAGGGTCCTCCCAGCATACCCTGGGCCAGGATGTCGGACTGCACGTCTCCATCGTAGTTCTTGCAGGCCCACACAAAGCCGCCGGAGGACTTGAGGACCTGAGCCACCATGTCATCAATGAGCCGGTGCTCGTACCAGATCTTGTTCTTGTCAAAGTCGGTCTTGTAGTGCCTGGGGGTACAAGGGCCTGTGGTGGGGAGAGGCAGGAGGCTGGCAGGTTGGGGACCCCTCCCTGAGCCTCAGAGCTGAGCCAAATGCACTGGGACTACAATCTCCCTTGGGAAGATGAGGACAGCATGGGGGTAAGGGGGTGACAGGGAAGAAAGGCTATAGAGTCCTTGGGAGGCAGCAAAGGAAGAGGCAGTTACTTGTCAAAGATCTCCTGGAAGATATCCTTGAAACGCCCGTCGTAGGCTTTTAGAATGGTGTTCTTGGTGCTCATGTACAGGGGCCACTTCTTCTGGATGGCGTACTGGAAACAGCTGTGCGCAAAGCCTGAGATGGACTGTGGGGGGACAGAGGCGCCCTGGTCTGGTCCCCCTTGGTCCTGCCAGCCCTCACTGGTCCCCCAGGGCCAGGCCCAGACCTGGCATCCCACCCTCCACACAACTGCTTAATCCCCTGCCACCTGGGATTGTGCCATCAGCTGTTTTACTGGCCCAGCATTTCCTTCCCAACTTCCTGAAACAAGTAGCCCACCCACCCAAGTTTGCTTTAGGGTACTACCGCCCTTCCCCAGTTGTGAGGCCACTTGCTGGGGCAGGGCTAACTCCCCCCACACACACACACACACCAGCCCACTGCAAGGGTTAATGGTCTGTTCAGAGCCCTTCTTCCCTCCTGGGGTCTCAGTGATTGGCTTAGAGACAGTCATGTGACCCAAGCCTGGAATTTTTGCTGGAACTAGGAGCCAGGTACTCTTTTCTGATAGGGCAGCCAAGCAGGCAGGGAATAAGCCTGGAGCTACCAATGGCCATTTCTGCCCCTTCCAGGCCTGAGAATGAGGCCAACAAAAAACAGGAAGCTGAGAGGGAAGAGGGGGGAGGAGGGCACCGGCGTGCCAGAGCCTCACCTCATCGGTGTTGTACATGCCCATGCCCACGCCGCCTGCAGGGAAGTTGTACACCTCCCACTCCTTGGCACTGCTGCCATCCTTTGGGGTGAAGACCAACTTGAACTTGCCAGCCCGGTCCACCACGAAGTCTGTGGCCTTGTACTGCAGAGAGGAGAGGATGGCTCAGGCCAGGGCTCAGATGGAGGGGCTCAGATCAAGGACCAGCCCTTACCTCCCATCCTGGCCTACCTGGTCGCCATGGGCATGCCTGCCAATGGTGATGGGTTTGGTCCAGCCAGGGACAAGGCGTGGGATGTTTTTGCAAATGATGGGCTCCCGAAAGACAGTCCCTCCGAGGATGTTCCGGATGGTTCCATTGGGACTCTTCCACATCTTTTTCAGGTTGAATTCTTAACACAGAAATACAGTGGGCCCACTGCAGCCCCCACCTTCCAACCCAAACTGGAACCCCAAGAAACACACAGCCAGACAGGGTTCCTAATATCACCCTGGGGGAAGCAGTAGAACCTAGAATGTAAACGTGTGTGCTCTGGAATTCACCAGTTCTGTGTGGCTGGCACAGTAGATTTAACCTAAGCTGTAGAATGAAGTTAGTGATAAAATGTTAGCCTATTAGGTTTTTATGATTAAATAAGCTAATTTGGAAAGTGCCTAGAATAGCACCTGGTTTGTGGCAAGTGCTCCCGTCAGAGTTTGTTTGTCTTTTATTGTCAGAGGGTGTGTATGCTCACAGAGAGACAGAAATTGAGAAAGAGAAAATACCCCCAGTGGGACATGGTCACCCACAATCCTCTTTTCTCCATCCTATCAGGATCTGGGGATCACGCACACACACGCATGCATGCCTGGCATGTTTTTCAGGCCACCAGAGTCGAGATTTGCACCAAAGCTGGCTCTATGGGCCCCAGCTCCTTTGGACAGCACTTAACCACCACACTCTGTGGGGCCAGCCCCACAAGCAACTGTTATGGCCAGATCTTGGACAGAAGGAGCTCGCAGGGCTCGTCTGACGCTCCCAGACAACACACCACTTCCCTCCAGGTGCTCAGTCTTATAACCTGGTTATATTAGGGCTAGAACCTCTACTTCCTTGTCCATAAGATGGGGATACGTAACATGCCAAGAGCTCAGTACTAATGTGGCTGCAGCACTCCATGGCCAGGCGTAGTCTGGAAGGACGGGAGGAGGCCTGGGGAGTCTGCAGATTGATCTGGCACTGCTTCTGTCTCCCTCGTACTGCAGGAAGTAGGGACAGAGAAGACAGGAAACTCCTGAGCAGCCCTCTTGAATGAACCAGACCTGGTCCCTGGATCCACATACTGGTGCCTCCTCATGCAGCTCTTAAGGGAGAGCCCAGAACCAAGGACCAGCAGCCAGGCCTGGTAGGGGCACTTCTCAGATATACCTGCGTGACCACAGGGGCAGGGGCAGACCTGCAATGCCAAGACAGTGGCAGGAGGGCACTTGATGTGCCCCATAGGCCTCGGAGGACATGGACCTGTCTGCACAGTGTCTCTGTAAATCTGCTTGTAGAACAGTCCAGGAGGCCAGAGGGACAGGCTACCCTAAGAAGCCAGTCCTCATTACTGTGACAGCTCCAGCATTATCTTCCTCCTCCTCGTCCCTGTCCCTGGTCAGAGCCACACAACACAGCAGCAATCCTACTGGCTGGGGAACTAGGAGACATAGACTCTAGCCTCAGCTCTGCTGAAGCTGAACCATGGACCTGAGGCCGACCCCTTAGACACTGCCCCAGCCTCACCTGCAGTGACCTCAAAGTCCACCCGTATCATCTCAGTCTCCACCTCCAGAGATCCAGTCTCCCGGTCCCAAGATGAATGGCAAGGCCAACCACCCCAGCCAAGTGTGGAGAGACCGTTGGGCAGAGCCCATGACCCTCCCCACCACCCACCTCATCGCCCTCACACCTTCCACACGGGCCTCATCGGGGGTTATGGTGGCACACTTGACAGCTACACTGTACTTCTGGGTGGCCAGCGCAGAGTCAATGGTGACCTGGTCGTTGGTCTGGTCACGGTGTGGGAGCCCGAGGTCAAAGTACTTGAGCTGGACGTCCACATGGGGCAGGATAAGCTGGGAACAGAAGACCAGAGCAAGGTGTCAGCCAGACAACTATGACTCGGGATGGGACCCTGAAGGACCCAAGAGAAGTCTGTAGGCTATGTCAGCGGACTCCCAACCGGGACAGGGATGAGAGAAGACCAGTGGATGGGGTGCAACATGGGGCTGGGATCAGCCATTCCCTGGTGGGGCCTGGTTTGAGCTGGCAGGATCCTGGGCTCTGAAGAGAGGTGCAGACCAGGCTGCAGCCCTCCCGAGGGCTTTTCCCCTGGATAGACCACCTGCTCCACCACAGCCCTTAACTCAGCCGAACCCCAACTCCACGTACATCAAGACTCCTCTGTACAAGCTTTGAGAACTTTACAACTGGATGTGGCAGTGTTCAACCCTTCCCCCATGGACATACAGACCACACAAGGCCCTCATGTGGATGACACACTCCCCTGGATATATCCAGACCACAGCCACCTCGGAGAAGCTGAGCTGCCACGGGGACCATGAGACACGGTGACTCGCCACAGCTACAGGTGGTCACTGCCCTGCACACCAGCCCTGTTCCTCCTCCACTCCTTCTCAAGGAAGTATAGTGGAAGGGCAGGGATCAAGACAGACACCATGCGGGATTGTCCTTGAAGCTGCTGGAATACTGTAAAATGGGCATAGGCTTTGGTGCCAGCACAAGGCATCACCTGCTCAGGTCAGGCCCTTGCCTTACCTCATAAGAACCAGACATGGTCCAGACATAAAAGAGGGCTGACTTGGCCACCCTGTAGCCTAGTGATTAATGGACCCAGGTTCCATGTGGCTGGCCATGGTTCAAATCTCAGCCTTGGCAGCTTGAAAATCAGGCCAGGCATATGTGCGTACATGCCCAAAATCCCAACCAGATAGAGAAATGGAGAAGAGATTGGGGCATGACCATGCCCTGTTGGGCATGGGGGATACTTTCTCCCTTCTCTCTGTCTCTCTCCCTCTCTGTCTTTCTCTCTCTCTCTCTCTCTTTCTTTTTAGCAAATGCATGTGCCTTCTGGCAAAAAAAAAAAAAAAAAAAAAAAAGGACCAGCAGATGACATAATAATGGTGACATCTCTGGACTCCCACATGACTTGGTACAAGTCAAGTCCAGGACCCAGTGGCTTCAAACTCAGGCCAGGTGCATGTGTGTACATGCCCAAAATCCCGAGAGGAGAATGGAGAAGGGATTGTGGCATGGCCATCCCTCCTGGGGGGTGACTTCTCACTTTCTGTCTGTCCAGTGAGCACATGCTCCCTATAGCTAAAATCTGTCTAAAAAAGCAAAAAAGAAAAGGCAGGGTGGACAGGAGAAAAACAGGGCTGTTGCTGCCCACCAAGGCAATAGGTATGTGCCAGGGACCTGCAGGGGGACTCAGAAGGCCTGGTGGCACTGAACACTGTACCTGGGCAGGGCAGCCCACCTGGAGGACCACCCACTTTGGTAGGGGGCTCTACCTTCTCCTTGATGAACTGCCAGATAATGCGGGTCATCTCATCGCCGTCCATCTCCACCACTGGCTTTGCCACCTTGATCCTCTTGTCAGCATCTAGAACCGGGTACACTCAGCTCATCACATTCATGTTTGTGGGGATGGTGGCGCCCCCCTCCTCCCAGCCAGACCAGCCCTTTCACCAAAGAGGGAGCCATGGACAGCCAGGGTGCCAGCTACCCACATCCACTGCCCCTTCTGCAGAAGTGACAACTGCTAGGCTGACAAGGACAGAAGTCTATGAAAAGCAGGCCTAGAAACTAAACGTTGTGGCCACCTCGGCACACCAAAACAAGAGTGACCAAAGTCTAACAGACCTCAGGTATGTCATCATCCTACAGTGCACACCACAGCTATGACTCATGACACCCCTGAACTGCTAAGAAAAACGTTAGGCCATATATAGCAAAACAGCTCACCTTCCAAAGATATGCAAACAGATTCTCCTTTTAAATCTACAAAAGCTCATAGAGATCACTTAGGAAGAAAAATGAGGCCCAGGGAATATGGCCTGTATTAGAGGCAAGATAGAACCCAGGCCCTGACTCAGATACAGCCTCTGGAAATCATTGTGGGTCAGATGTAGAGAGGCAGAAAGCAAACAGATTCAGAACACCTCATTCCCCGTGCACAGAAGGCGAACGCTGGTGGCTCCACCACCCTTCCCAAAATGCAGTGAGAATTTTGGATCCAAGCTACAAAGTCCCTTTGCTTTTTCTGATCTAAAGCTTGAGTAGAAGGGCGCTAGGATCTGCAGAGAACAGACTGGGCTGTTGCAGAACTAGCTTAGTTTGTAGGAGCATCTCTTGTGAGTTCATCGAATCAAATTTTTAAAAATTGAAACTATCTGGGGCCAGCAGGCGATGTGGTGGTTGAGGCGCTGGACTCCCACATGGCTGGCCCACATGGCTGACTAGGTTTGAATCCCGGACCAGGTGACTTGCTTTCTCATTTTCCCTTTAATCTCTCTTCTCTCTCTCTCTGGTGAGTGCAGAACATTTATTAATTAAAAAATAATAAATTTAAATTTTTAATTTTTTAAATGAGGGGCCAGCAGATGGCATAGCGATTACATCACTGGACTCCCACATGGCCAACTGCAGCTTGAGTCCCAGACCCAGTGGCTTGAAAATCATGCCGGGTGTTTC